TAATAATATATTAAAGAAACTGAGTGCTCAGACACATAGGTTCATAAAAACTTTTACCCAATAATCTCTAAAGAATTTAGCCAAGCATGGCTAAATTATACATAGCAAATATAAATAAAGAATTACAAATCATCAAAAGAGTACAAGAATTTACCAGACGATTTTCCCAAATCTCCCTAGTCTTCTTCTTGCTTTCCAAGACAACTTTTGGCTCTTGATTTCTCTCCTTCTTGTCTCCAAGAATCTCTGAATTCTAAACTATGAATTGCAAATTACCTATTTTAATTATTTACTCTAAACTACCATGCTTTTTCAGGGTTGAGGAAAGTGGGATTTTATAGTAGGTACAAAGCTGAGGCGGAATTGGAATTTTCCTAATTTCTTTTGGAAGTTTAGCTTTAATTTGGAATGATTAGGCAATAATTGTAGCCATCTTGCTTTGGAATATTGCCATTTTAAATTAGGAAGTTTCTAAAAATCGCGCCCGGTGCAATATGTACGGTTTGCAAGCTTATTTTGACCATTTTCTCTTATTATCTAGACTTTGATGTCTTCATAAGAGTTGTAGCCCATCGAATTGTCCACAATAATGCAATTAGGTCACTGAACCTAACAAAACAACAATTGGGTCCCTAAATTAACTAATTTCATTCAATTAGTCCTATTTACAGGTTAGTAGCAGGTCATCCCAAATTTAAAATATTTTTTTTAAAAATTATTATTTAAAAATAATTATTTAAAATTAGAAAAAAAAAAACACGCCTCCGCCGGAGACGAAGAACTTTTCTTCGTCTCCGGCCATGGAGACAAAGAAACTTTCTTCGTCTCCGGGCATGAAGATGAATAGTCTCTTCGTCTCCATGGCCGGAGACGAAGAGTTTCTTCGTCTCAGGCGGAGACGTGTTTTTTTTTTTTTTTTTTTTAATTTTAAATAATTATTTTTAAATAATAATTTAAAAAAAAATTGGGATGACCTGCTACTAACCTGCAAAATTTATAAATTAGACTAATTGCATGAAATTTGTTAGTTTAGGGACCCAATTGTTGTTTTTTTTTTTTAGGTTCAGTGGCCTAATTTCATTATTGTGTGCAGTTCGATGGCCTATTTGACCCTTATTCCATTTTAATTCTATACGTAGATTAATTAGCATGCACCATATTCCTAACTTTCAAATTAACGCAAATAACAAGTGTGAAATTTGTGTTGTGACAAAACTAACGAAAGTACCTTTCAAATTGATCGAAAGAGAAACTAAACCACTGGAATTAATCCATAGTGATTTGTGCGATTTTAGATCGATACAAACGAGAGGTGGTAATAAGTAGTTTATCACTTTTATCGATGATAGAACGCGATACTGCTATGTGTATTTGCTTAAGAGCAAAGATGAAGTCGTTGATAAATTCATTCTTTATAAGAATGAAGTGGAAAACCAACTTAATCAGAGAATTAAGAAGGTTAGAAGCGATAGAGGTTGTGAGTACGAAACACCGATGGGTGACTTCTGTGCAAGTGTAGGCATCATGCACGAGCGTACGACACCTTACGCACCTCAATCGAACGGTGTTACCGAACGAAAGAATCGTACATTGAAAGACATGATGAATGCGAGATGCTTATAAGTTCGGGTCTACCTCAAGGAATGTGGGGTGTAGCGATCTTGACAAGTAATTACCTTTTAAATGAGGTACCCCATAAGAAGCTCGATAAGACTCCTTATGAGCTGTGGAACGGTAGTAAATCTTCTGTAGATATATATGTATTTATAACCGTGGGGGTCTAATTTATATAAATTTGTGTGTATATATATATTTCGGATATATATCCAATAATATTTTATATATTTTCGTGTGTATATATAAATATTATTTTGCGAAATTAAATTGATTTTGGTTCATTATTTCCAACATTATGTATTATGTTAGACTATGTGTATTATCCTTTCAAAAAAGATTATATGCATTCTGTTACACAATTATGTACATTAGAAACATGAGAACTTTTTTTAAGAAGTTAACAGCAGACACGGAAAATCGGAATTTTCAAAAAAAAAAAAAAAAGTACAAAACAACGTCGTTTTGGATCAGGGTGCACAATGCATTGTGCGCCCTAGTGCAAGATATAATTTGCATACGATCACACAGCGAATAATGCTGGTAACCCATCAATACGCGTTAAATAGCATAGTATAGATAGATATAATCAAAGCCATTTGAAACTGAAGAATACCATATATATCATTTTAAAACCAAGGAAGGAAGTCAACATCAAAGACCATCAAACTCTCAACAAAACGAGGACCATTGACCTCACAACAACAACAAGACCGCAAACATAATAGACAACACAACTCAGGATGCATCCTACCATTCACAAGGTAGAACACATCAAGACATGCTCATAAGCAAGGAAATCACATTCACCAATGACAACTTCATGTCACAAGTTTCATAGTTCCAACCTTATGCCCTGTTCCAACCTTATGGCTACCACTGGCCTTATCACAGTTCCAACCGTTACCTCCTAGTGCCACCCTGTACTTCTGAGTCCAACCTTTTACCTCCGGGGACCGTCGCCCCCCCCCCCCCCCCCCCCACCTACACTGCCAAACATCACCGCCGATCTCTCAGTACACGAGGGTACCATTAAATATCATAATCACAATCGCCGATCTCATGAGCAAAGCTCAAGTAACAAAACCATCAATCTCAATCATAGTCACACACAGTCATCATCATTATCAAGAAGACTAAGGCTCAACAATAGCCCAATCAAGTATCAACAAAGGGTACAATGATTAGCATACGATCACACCATAAGAATCAATCAAGAGATCACAACAAAGACATGAGACCATACTCAACAACAAAGGATTAAAATCCAACACCAAATGATTGTCAACACAAGTTGCCAATCCCAATAAGAAGGAATGAACCACACATACTAGCATATCAACATCAAACTAGCATGCTTATCAAACAGATAAACCAAAATTAGTTCCAAAGAACATTCAAGACTCACATTAGCCCAACGAATCACAAAGTTGGACCCTTAGCACGATTCAAGACACCAAATCCTACATGGATTCCTAACACACCGTTCTAGACATACGAAACATCAAGAAGACTCACAAATAGCCCAATAAATCAACAACGGGAGGTCAAAACAACAATACCGGAAAGAAAGAATCACGGGGAACAAATCCCCCCACAACTCCAACAATGTACCCCGCGGGTGGGGCCACGGGTAGACCCCCACCCGTGGGTCTGCCCGCGGGGTACACACCACAAAAGCCGTGTTCCCCGCGGGTGGGGCGGCGGGTAGGCCACTGCCTACCCGCCGTTCCGCCCGCGGGGTACAACCTATACTCCACAAATTTTTTTGGGAATTTTCATCACCAAGGTCAAGTTCAAGTTCAAAACACCCAAAATCTCACACACAACAATGATATGACTTTAACTCAAGAAATAGCCAAGCAATGGCATTCAAGAAACCTAAAAACAAGCTCTAAACATGCATCACAACAAGATAATGCATCAAATCTCACAAATCATCACAAGAACAACAAGTAGAAGCCAAGAATCATTATTTAAGTAAGAAAATAGGTTTTGTATAGCATGGGTTACCTTTGTAGCCTAACAACTTCTCATTTCCACCCTTTTAAGCCTTTTTTTAGAGCTCTTCTTCCACACCAACTTCTTACACAAGCAAAAACACAAGAGATGTTCTAACTTTAGATAAAGACACCCAAAAGATGACTAAAAGCACCAAAAAGCTAAGAACCTTACCCTTTCATATGCTCAAGAAGAAGAAAGTAGGAATCTTGGTGAAAGATCTTGCAAGACCTGAAGGTTCACCTTCTTGCTTGAAGAATAAGCTAGGTTATTTTAGAGAGAGGCTAGAGTGTTTGAGTCTTAGATTGAAAGGATGAATGAAATGAGAATGTCTTGTTAGGATAGCTTGAACCACAATTCATAGGTGAAAAGCCATTTTTACCCTTACTAAGGTTGGAAAGACAAGGGGACAAGGGCACAACTCAAGAAGCACAAGGTACACCCATTTGACTTAAGTGACTAGTCAAAATCTAGTCCCTCGACTATCAAATTTTAAGATTTTTAGAAATGGATTAGCAAAGAAACTTGGATTAATTCTTCAATTAATCCTTGATTAGTATTTAGATTTACGGGGTGTCACACCCCGTATCATACTTAGACTAAATCCGTTTGCAATGGACCGGCCCAACTAAGGGGCAAAGTGCTGGACAATTAAATAAAAAATAGACTATTTAACCCCTTTTTTCCAACCTTTTTCAAGAATTTTATATAAAAAAAAAAAAAAAAAAATAGCTAGCCTAGCTTTCATAAGTATAAGACTTTCCTAAACATAATTTCTATAAATATGTTTTGAATTTCCATAATCATAGTCAAAGTTGTCTTACATCAATACTATTCCATAAAACATCGCTTGCTTGCTTGCACCTAGTTAATCCAAACTGGAAGGAAAGATTAGATTTTCCATCGATGGAATGAAGTTATTTGTAAGATTTGTAAAAGTTTCCTGTATTGTTTGCCATGCTGCAAATAGGTTCTTTGTAGAGAAGTACTGTGAAAACATCAAAACAGTAATGAATTGAATTTCTCAGTAAGGGTCTTGTGTATAATTTGTATATTTAATACTCATTCTGTCACATTTTACAAATCTCGTTTATTATTAAGTTAAATCAACTCAACCATATAACCTTAGTCAAACTTGATAACAGAACCATATACACATAAAATAGGGACGAAATGTGTACTTCTTAATCTATATGAATTAGTTCACAATGCAAATCCTTGTTAACTGAATCAAACAAGACACATAAAATGGGACCAAATGAGTACTTTTTAATCTCTATGAACTGTTCACAATACAAATCCTTGTTAACTGAACCAGTCACATACACATAAGATGGGATGGAATGAGTATGACAATACAAATCTTTGATTTTCATATATTGCAAATTGTTCTTAAAAACATACCATAATCATACAGCTACTACCAACCAATGACAAAACATAGTAATATGATATATATGTATAATATCCATAGCTAATATGTTTTGTATTTTTTAAAACCTAGGAAACATCAACAGGTTGCCGAGAACACTACCAAACATCAGCATATAAGACACTAAGGCTGCAGCAGCTGAGATGCGATATCGGAAGCATAATACTTGGACACAGGAGATGTCATCAGGGAACAAGAATTTTGTCGAGCTAATCATTATGCTGGATGCAGTAAGCGACGAGAATGCAAATATCTGTTGTTATGGAATAGGAAATGTTATAAATCATTGAAAATCGAAATTAATGTTTACATGTTATTTGCTAGTAACTAATAGACAGAATGCTCTTACCATATCAATTATAAGGATTGTCAGGATAGTACTTGGTTTGTGATCAGGGACTTTGATGAAAACATATAGACAATCTACAGTGGCCCAAAACAAGCTCCATGGTATGATCAAGCTCCAGACAGTGGCCAAAAGGCTGCAAGCAACAAGAATAATAACTCAAGGAGTCAGGCTATATATTGACTACCAAAGTTTCAAGTTTAACTCACAATCCTATTGGTCATTCTTGGTTTGAGCCTTCATCTATGAACAACTTATGCTTTTTTTTTTTTTGGGTATACCAAGGGTTTCCATCGTCAGTGGCTAATCCTCCAGCCCGAACCTCTTTTGGATGGGACAGCTGACCTGGAGATTTAAGGCGGATCCATACCCAAAGCCAAAGATCGAACCCTTGACTTTTGGTTAAGGATGGATGAGTCATTTCTACTCAACCACACCCCCAAGGTTTGAACAACTTATGCTAATCCTTTACCGGCCAAGATCATAAGGCAGGTTGCGGGCAGGACCACACGACAGGACGGATTTAACCATGCACACCTCCTGAAGTGGCGACAGATTTCTCTTGTCATCATCCAACAAAAATTATGAACCCTAAACCCTAAATCTAGGGAACAAGTAAGTCAATCAAGGTAGGCTACCTGCTAAGATCACAAGACGACGGGATGTAGTTTACCCGTGTACACCTGGTAGTGGCTGCTCACCACCCAAAAAAGAAATATGAACCCTAACCCTAAATCTACATAACAATTAACATCAAGGCAAGCTACCAGCTAAATAAGATCACAAGACGGGATTTACTCATACACACCCAGTAGTGGCTGCTTCGCCATCAAAAAAAATTATGAACCCTAAACCCTAAATCTACAGCCAAGAACGTAACAAGTAAGCCAATCAAACAGAAAATTAAGCAGATACACCCATCTCAGGAAGGAAACGGAGAAATGGAGAAAACCCTAATCAAGTTATACGAAGGCAAAGCAAGATACCAGAAGGATGTATCTTCACGGAAGCCTTCACCAGAGAACAGGAAAAGCAGGCCGGCAACGGAGGTCATGGCCTGAACCACTCTCAGACACAAACTTTCTGCAGTCCCTAACGATCCCGGTATCACTTCCATTATGCCTTCTGTTTTCTGCTCCAATTAGCACCACCGCCGCTCTTTTATAGTGTCTTTTTTGCCAGATTTGTCTGATCTGGCGATGACACGATGAAAGACCCGCCATGTCCATTATGCCTTCTGACCCACCATGCCAAAAAGGAGATTAATTTAAGGACGATCTTTAACGGTTGGCTTCATTTAATACTTACCAAAAGTTGTTTAAATGATGAAGTAGAGTGGGATCCTCGTCAGGGATCATCTCAAAATCCATTTCATTGCATAAGATTTTCACCGGATAAAGAAACCCTAGTAAGCTTCCGTCCATCATCACTAGCTTTCAATTCTATATATTAATTAAGGATTCGTTTGGAGACTCGAAAAATGATTTCTTTGTGTATTTAAATAAAATAAAGTTAAAAGGAAATATTCATAGTGGTCAACGAAAAAATATTAAATTTTAGCGGAAAATGTAATCCTATATTTTTAATCGCGAAATATTTTCCAAATTCTTTATTTTCATATATTTATTTCTCTCATCTATTTTCAAACTAGTTTCCGAATTATTATTACCACCACCAAATCACCACAACTACCACCCCCACCAACATCAATACCACCAACACAACATCACCACCACCAACACCACTACCACAACTACCACCATCACCAACCAATCACAACCACCACCTCTACTACTACTACTACTACTACTACTACTAATAATAATAATAATAATAATAATAATAATAATAATAATAATAATAATAATAATAATAATAATAATATTATTATTATTATTATTATTATTATTATTATTATTATTATTATTATATGTTCATTTTCAGGAAAATGAACCAAACAGGGAAAAATGCTAATTCTTAACTTTCACACAAACATAAAAAGCTATTCTAGGCCCGTGATCGACCAAGGCCCAGACTTTGGCCACCTCTAGCTCGGAGTCTATTAAGGATTGGGCCTATTTGTAGTCTAATAGGATTGAACTTCATATTCGCAATGTAACAAGGACTCCCAATATGAGGCATTCTAGGAGTTCTATTCCCTTTAGGGCTCTTAACCTACTTGAATAAATAGGCCCCATACATAGGGAGAAGGACAAGCAATGACCATTAATACAAAATATTTATTCTCCATACATTCTCTTTATATTTCTCATATACTAATTATTTTAACGGTAGTGTTCGTCCACCGTTGACTGCCAAATGTCGAAAAAACCAACATTGGCGTCGTCTATGCGTATCGAAACGAAGATCGATTACGTTCATTCCTCAAAGCAAATCAAGTTCAAAATTTTTCAAACATGGTCATCACCCTCTAACAAGCCCGCTCCGGGCGGTCAAACCCATGACCTACGCGAAACCTTGACAAGACCTAACTCCTGCGCACTGTCCAGTCGCTTTGCTCGACCAGCGGAGAGAAATCCAGATGAAAACCGCTGAGGTGAAGATGTATAGTTATCCATTAGACCAGTTGCTAGACCCCCACCAGTCGACCCTCAAAGACCCCACCTCACGATGGCAAACATCGTAGAACGCCAAACCAATGTGGAACAAAGGCTTCTTCATAACCTTCCCAACTCCATATTCTAACTCAAATGGGTCTACTTTGAGAATCAATTTCTCACTCACTCATTATCCGTTTTGGGCATAAGATATATTAATTTATTATCCTCACTGTGAAGAACCCGAATCCACGTTGACTCGACCTGAATAAGGACTGGACTCCACATATATTTGTACCACAAAATAACCACTTAAAATGTCTTTTCTTACAAAAAAAATACCAACAATTAGTATTATGTGCTTGTTTATCATAAGCAAAACTTCCCAATTTTACTTGGCGTAACATTTATGGTCACCTATAAACCTTGAAATCCTTGAGTTTAACCTAAATAATGATGATTGTTGATAAGAAAATTGGACAAGGCACAGGACCCGACCTGACGCTCTTGGTTTAACCCGTTAGAGCAGTGAAGGCGGTCAAATAAGTAACGGTCAAGCAACTCCCATGATTCTCGTAACTTGAACCGCAACGACAATGTTGGCTTGGATGCCTGGTCTATACAAACTCATGGGACCTTTGGGACCAACTCAACAACAATCGCAGTGGAGGTCCTGAGGCTCCTGTCCCGCTGATAAACCTCAAGGCAACTGCCCGGGCCATTCAGCACATCGCCATGACGTTAGCTCAATCAGTGGCTTAGATGTAAGGTTGAATGCCCATGCCACCAACGCAGGAAATTGAGGTGGAGTCTCCGCGGGAAGAGAAAATCCGAGAATAAGGTGCAACCTACGTAACGGGAGGCCGCCCTGAAACTCAACCTCGCTCTAGGGGAAGAGGGGCTGAGGGACTGAGGGGAAGGAGTTCAAGGAGTTGGAGACGGCTTTGTTAGACATCGGTCGGTCGCTCTTCCATGCCCGTCTTAGAGTAGTTGGGCGAGAGGGTGTCTATTCGGGAGAGGTTAGGGCCACAACTATGGGTCAAAGGGTCATCTACCAAGGGACCGAACCAAGATGGAACCAGGACAATAGGTGAAGGAGAGCGGTCGACACGGTCAGAAAGGGTGTATTTCGAAAATACACCACACAGTGTTTGAAAATGCACCATAATGAAATTCCACAAAATTCACGACACACCAAAAAAAATGCACCATACATAATGGTGTATTTTCAGACACTTTATGATGCATTTATGCCAACCTAATGGTGCATGACCGCACGTCCGCACGGGAAGCACTGTTCACAAAGGAACCTGACCATATATATAAAGGCACAACGATGTGCATTTGAAGCAATTTATGGTACCAAAAAAGGAAGTTCTTCAACTTATTAAGTATTATTGATGTAATTACCCTTACAAATCGTTTGTAAATCTCACAAATTTCATTAGAAATTTAGTTATACATTGTTGAAAAGAATGCACAAAATATAATAAACACTGGTCCATAATTGTGCACTTGAAGGCCAAAATTCTGCACTTGAAGGTCAAAATTCTGCACTTGAAGGTATAAACATGTGCAATCGAAACAATTTATGGTACCAAAAAGAAAAGTTATTCAACTTAAGTATTATTGAAGCAATTACCCATACAAATCCTTTTGTAAATCTCAAAAATTTCATTAGAAATTTAGTTATACGTTATTGAAAAGAAGACAAAAAGTATAATAAACATTGGCGCATAATTGCATGTGCACTTGAAGACACAAAAATGTACACTTCAATGCACAAAAATATGCATTCGAAGGCCAAAAGTGTGCACTCAAAGGCACAAAGATTTGTACTCAAAGGGAAAATATGCACTGAGACAAAACGTATGCACTCAAAGAAGTGAAAGTATGCACTCAAAGAAGGAAAAATATGCACTTGAAGACAAAGTACATATAAACTTACGTACTCAAAACTACAATAATGTCACTGCGTGAATTTTAATTCTTCTCCATTATGGAATGTTGATTTAGACTAGATTTATGGTTGAGATTTAACCGTATATTACAATTTCCCCTTTAAAAAATGAAAATAAATACAAGATCAACCGGCCCCTTTTGGTAAAAATAAGTACAAAATCATGTTTGGACTATAAATAATATTTAAAGATTAAAAAAATTAGAACTAGAGTGCACTCAAAAGTCAAAACTATAAATTGGTAAAATTGCAATTTACAAATTTTAAAAGTTCAGTTTAAAATTTTTATAAGTGCGGCTCAAAAAATTTATTAAAACATGTATAGCTCCTTTGAATACTATTAACTCTATTACAAGGTAGCTGTTCTAGACTTTCTCTAACTACTGCAGCACAACCACCGGGGTTCGATCCTGTGACATTTCCTCTAGAAAAGCTACAGAGATACCATTTCAACACAAAAAATTCATTAAAACATGTATAGCTCCAAGATCTAAATAATACATGGTACAAAGAATACACGCACTACCTAATAATATATACCATCTTGTGTTCCAACAATAAAAACTCTTTCCACTATACACATTTTGAAATAGACTTCACTTGATCGAGTTATTACCATCTTCCTACTATCCAAATTCTAAAGTATGCTTAGATCATCTACCACTCAACTTCAAAGATGAGTTAAAGCTCAAGGTAAAATTTTCGTATTCATTCTTAATTAAAGTCTAGTGATCCTATAATACATGTAAGAGACTTTGTGTTAGAGTCTAAGTTATTTCAAAATCAATTCTGATCTCATTCTCTCATAGTCTAAGTTATTTCAAAATCAATTCTGATCTCATTCTCTCATAATTAAAAACAGTAACACTCCAATTGACAGACATACTAGTATAGTTTCAACTTAAGCTCACATCAATGGGGATGTAACTCATATGGTAGAGCACTCGCTTTGCATGCGAGAGGCACAGGGTTCAATTCCTTGCATCTCTAAGTTGTTGTTTTTGTCGACATTAAATCGAATTAATTAAAAGTGATTTTTTTTTTTTGAAAGTTACTGATTCTATTACATTGTAGTATCTGTTCATATACTTTCTCAACCTACTGAAACACAAAGAACCAATAACGCCTCCACTGAGGCTCAAACTCATAATCTTCCAAATGGAAGTCCAACCCGGATACCATTAGACCACATAGTCCTGGTAAAAGTGATTTTGATATATATATATATATATATATATATATATATATATATATATATATATATATATATATATATATAAAAGAGATCAGGTGCATTTGTGGCTTCCCGTGCGGGTGTGCGGTTGATTAATGTGCGTGAGGTTTATACTTAATGTGCGTGAGATTTGTACTCAATGTGTCTGAGATTTGTACTTAATGTGCGTCATGTTAATATGCGTGAGTTTTGTACTTAATGTGCCTGAGTATTGTGTTTAATGTGCGTGAGATTTGTGCTTAATGTGCGTGAGTATTTCAGAATCACGAGCTCAGAAGGAAGCAGAACAGAAACTCACGCACATTAACTCCCACGCTTCTTGTTACTTCTTCCTTCAATTTGGCCATGGATTCTGGTTTATCAGCTACCTTCAGTGCAGTTGAATGTTTATATAGATGACGCACGCACAGTAAAATTT